GAGAGAGAGAGAGAGAGAGAGAGAGAGAGAGAGAGAGAGAGAGAGAGAGAGAGGAGAGAGAGAGAGAGAGAGAGAGAGGAGAGAGAGAGAGAGAGAGAGAGAGAGAGAGAGAGAGAGAGAGAGAGGAGAGAGAGAGAGGAAGAGAGAGAGAGAGAGAGAGAGAGAGAGAGAGAGAGAGAGAGAGAGAGAGAGAGAGAGAGAGAGAGAGAGAGAGAGGAGAGAGAGAGAGAGAGAGAGAGAGAGAGAGAGAGAGAGAGAGAGAGAGAGAGAGAGAGAGAGAGAGAGAGAGAGAGAAGAGAGAGAGAGAGAGAGAGAGAGAGAGAGAGAGAGAGAGAGAGAGAGAGAGAGAGAGAATAGAAATAGAAATCTCAAATAGAAACTCCTTCACATCGTTTATGCATAATGGGGATGCAACCAGAACGGCAGATGAGGTTGTTAATGCTATAATGGTGAGATCTTTCCCTGAAGACGAACTAACTTCGGACACAGAAGACCATGCTCACAAAAGAATTGCAATGTGTGAACTTCCGCAAACCGAAGATGCGCTTTCATGGGAAGAGGAAGACGTGAGGTTGGCTATAGGACAACTCCGATCGGGAAAGGCACCAGGACCGGATATGATAGGAGCTGATATCCTTAGAAATACAAAAAACGCACTGATTAAGCCTTTAACTACGTTCTACAACCGATGCTTCAATGAAGGCATTTTCCCCTGTATCTGGAAACAGGCTGAGCTGGTTACTATCTTGAAGCCCGGTATAACAGAAGTCACTGCTAAATCTTACCGCCCAATATGCCTCCTAAATGTAATGGGGAAAATTCTGGAAAGCCTAATGCTGCAACGCCTAAAAGACGTGACCGATTTGCTCTCTCCTGATCAATTCGGAGGTCGAAAAGGACAGTCAACAACGGATGCCATCAACCAGCTCATATCAACAGCTAAGGAGTCGCCCTATAAATATTTTGTAGTCCTCTTCTATGATGTTGCTGGCGCGTTCGATAATATGTGGTGGCCTGCTATTATGGACGAGCTAAAGAAACTAAAATGCCCCAGAAATATATACAGGCTCATATTATCATTTTTATCGGGGCGCTCTGTCTACTATCAACTTCCGGGAAGGAGAATAACGAGGTCAGTCCAGAGGGGTTGTGCTCAGGGATCAGTTCTGGGACTCCCCCTATGGAATATCAACATGAACCCTCTCCTTGTTAAATTGAGAGCTGCCGGGTATACGCCATCTGCTTACGTGGACGATTTTGCTGTTGGAATAGAGGCAAAATCACGACAAGATTTGGAAATAAGGGCAGCGGAAGTCACTGACATAATCTTGCAATGGTGCCAGGAAAATAAACTCTCTTTAAATTTTCGGAAGACTCGACTCCTGTTTTTGAAGGGAAAAATGGTAGGGTTTCTCCCCAGAGTAAAGTTAGGAGATGTCCTAATAAAACCATCTCAGGAAGTGAAGTTCTTAGGAGTCCTATTGGGCGAGAGGTGTAACTTCACTAACCACCTAAAAGAAATTAAGAGCAAAACTATTGTCCGTTACAGTTGCCTTAAAACGATGGCGGGGACCACCTGGGGTCTCAAATATGGTTACCGGGAAACCCTATATAAGGCTTCTTTCTTGCCTATTGCATTATATGCGGCGCCGGTCTGGGGCCAGAAACTGAGACAGTCAGACATCAGAGTGCTGGAGCAAGCTCAAAGAAGATCTCTCCTACTGGTGACAGGAGCGTACAGAACGGCACCCACTTCGGCTTTGCAAGTAATTACAGGACAATTGCCTATAGACCTGAAAATACAAATATCTATAGCCAAATATAGAATAAAGAGAGGAGTGCCAGCAAATGTGGGAACAAGCTGTTTTGTGTGCCCTAGTGGAAGGTACGACGAGGTGGCCAACAGAATAGAAGAACTAGTCCTTTCTGAATGGCAGAGAAGGTGGGATGCATGCGAGACTGGAAGACTAACCCATGAGTTCTTCCCAGATGTCAGGAGAAGAATCAAGAATGACTGGGTGGAGACGGATTTCTGGACAGTTCAACTCCTCACAGGCCATGGAGACATAAATGAAAAATTACATTTTTTTCATAGAAGAGCCAGTCCGAATTGTCACTGCGGGGCTGTTGAGGACGCTAGACACATAATTTTGGAATGTCCAATGTACACTGGCGCCCGACAAGCATTGGCAGGAGAGTACTCCATGTTGGAATGGCCTCCTCAGTCTCTGGACAAGCTTGTGGAGACACCTGAGATATTTGATGCCTTTAAGAAATACGCCAGGAGGATATTCCATGAAAAAATAGCAAGAGAGGAAAGAATAAACCGGTGATATACCAAATACATACATTTATAGTTATCATAAGATTTAGAAATAGTATATATAAAAACTTAGTAGTAGGCCCACAATAAGTAGGTAGGAAGTTACTGGAGTCCTGTTTGGTGGGAACAGCCCTCCAGTTGCAGGCAGCCCATTAGTGTAGGTTTACCCGTAATAATTAATGCCCCAATCAAACTAAAAGACCGAATTTTGCCTCACTTTGACCCAAGAATTTGGATCAAAGTGAGAGCAGACCTGCCCGCTTGGTTACCAATCCTGGTGACCGAGCCCTTTAAATTCGTGGCATATTTTTCAGTTAGAAAATTGGTTGTACCGCTGGTATAGGGTTGCCCTAAGGTACAGCGGGGGGAAAGAAGGAAAAAAAAAAAAAAAAAAAAAAAAAAAAAAAAAGAGAGAGAGAGAGAGAGAGAGGAGAGAGAGAGAGAGAGAGAGAGAGAGAGAGAGAGAGAGAGAGAGAGAGAGAGAGAGAGAGAGAGAGAGAGAGAGAGAGAGATGAAATGAAAGTATCGGGATGAACAGGGATGTCAGCAGTAAAGAGGATGTAAAGCACGGGACCCAAGACGCTGCCTTGGGGAACACCGGCTTTAACGGAGTAGATATTGGAAAATTCTGTTCCACAGCGAACTCGAAAGGAGCGGTCAGAGAGGTAGGATCGGAGGACTAGGTACAAGGACTGAGGTAAATGGATTTTAAGCTTGAAGAGCAGTCCGGAGTGCCATACCCGGTCAAATGCCTGTGCAATGTCCAGAAATGCACCCGAACAGTATTCCTTGTTTTCTAGGGCTGAGGAAATATGATCAACAACTCGGAGTCCTTGTTGAACATGGCAAAAAATAAAGTGAAATTATAAGCTTGCGTGTTGCTCTAACGCCGGAATGTGATAGTCCATGTAAACGGCCAAAAAGTGGTTTCCTGAAGTTTTCTGGAGCGTAGTGCCTTGCTCGTTTATGTTTCGCAAAGAAGAGGTCAATTCCGGAGATAGTAATAAATTTTAAATTGAGCCTAGGATTATTATTTAGGTCTCTGACGGTAGAATCAGCTTTCTGCGCATCGGCTAAGGCTGCAAAGTCATTTGTCAACTTCACATCGTCAATGCGTGACAAGGCGTCGGCTACTAAATTGTCACTACCTTGCTTGTAGTTGATTGATGTAGTAAACTGGCTTATATATTTAAGTTGTCTAATTCGCCGAGGTGGTGCTTTGTCAGCTTTGTAAGTAGAGGCGTGTGCTAAAGGTTTGTGATCAGTCACAATAGAAAAGTTAAGGCCCCCTAGGAGTGAACTGCTTGAAGTGCTTTATACCTTAATAGATCGCAAGTAACTCTCTATCATAAGTGGAGTAATTCTTTTGAGCCGCAGTCAATGAGAAGAATCCTAGTGGTCTCCAAACACCATTCTTTCATTGTTGTAAAACTGGGCCGGTTCCATTGTTGCTTCCAACGCAGGCTAAAAACAATTCTTCACAGGCCGATTGAAGTGCAGGTTGTGCGGTCCTTCCGCCCATTACACTGACCGCTGGTCCTTCTTCTTAGCACCACGTGTCAGCTCGTGAAGTGATTTGAACCTCAGCTGCGACTACGACTAAATTCACTACACCGATTTCACTCACTCTAATTTTTCTCTATTTCTACTATCAATCTTTTTGTCTAATCGATAAGCAAGGAGATATGAACGGAGATCTAATTGAATGTACAATGTAAAATCGCTACATTATAATTAATTAATGGAGAAAACTCGGCGGTTGAGCATGATCCTGGCCCGATCACCTTCCTGCACAACCAAACAAACTGAATCCAAAACCCTTGATGGACTGTAAAGTTACAGGTTTTATGTATATATATATACATATAATAAATTTAAAATTTATCTAAATATAATATAATAATTATATATATATATATATATATATATATATATATATATATATATATATATATGGGAAGTGGGGTACCTCAGTGGTAGAGTACTGAGCTTCCAATGCTTAAGGTCCCAGGTTCGAACCCCGGCTCATGGAAGAAAAATTATTTATGTTTCATTGGCCGTGGGGCAACCCTGGATAGAGAGACCCTCCTGGGGCACACATAGCCTCTACAAAGTGGGTACCCATAATTAATTAAGGGGGAAAACATGGCGGTTGAGCGTGATCACTGCACTACCGTTGACCTAGAAACAGTGCTTTCCCTAAATAGTACTGAAGACCCCATATGGGTTGTAGTGGTACAGGTTTTATATATATATTTATATATATATATATATATATATATATATATATATATATATATATATATATATATATATATATATATATATATATATATATATATATATATATACATACATAAAAATATAAATTGTTATCCATATTGTATTTGAAGATAAATTTAGAAGTTATAAAATAAAACCTTGTAGGTCATGGCAGTTCCCTTCTCATTGTGCCTGTCCAAGTTTAATGTTTTTAAAATCATTAACTATTATTACTTACATATTTCTTCCATGATCCTAAAGATGATTAGGGGTGATTAGATTTGGATAAGAAGGTGGATAGAAATAAAATGCAACACTTTCATTAAAAACACTTTAATCAACTAGATTACTAATAAATAGAAACAAAACGTAACGTAATTTTCTTTAACAACCACATTAAGTACTAAATAGTTTATCACCTACACAAACAAAACATTACTAATAATAACTGAAAAATTGGTACTTCATTTGATTATTAGGTATAAAATAAATTATAAATTGGAATTAGTATTAAATGCATAATTATCATTACGAAATTTTTCAAAAATAAAATTTGAGATAATGTAATGAGTCAGTCTTATAGTTACAAACCATCATATCTATCTACTGATGACATAACAGCTTCCACAAGAAGATTAAAATCTAACTCGGCCAAGCTAGCTGAAAATTTAAATTTCCATTAGTATCACTAAAATAGCTGTTTAATCTGAAAAAGAATATTTATACCAAATATCAATAACTAAAGAAATCTAAACAAAAAAAAATATAATTAACTAAGAAAGTAACAATGCTCAACTTGTTAAAATAAAATCGTTCAATAAATATTAAATCACCTAATTATAACAAGATAGTTGTCCATCATAGACACAGAAAACATCACGTTTGGATCTACTAAAAAATAAATTACTTTTTAAACTTCAGGTATAAATCACTTTAAGTCTGCAATAATACTTTACGAAATTAAAAACAAGTAAAAGTTAGTACTTTACGTTGGTATTATATAATATACTATTTATATATATATATATATATATATATATATATATATATATATATATATATATATAATATAGAATTTTTTGATTTTCGAAGATGGATGATATGATCTGAAAACTCATCATTCGAGTGAAATGAGAAATTTTCGGGTGGGTTCGATTCCAATCTGTTCGTGAGGTCTCGAAATAACCATGACCTGTGAGATATCTGAAATCGGCAGTAAAATATTTCTTCGACATATCCATAAGTAATTGCATTTTCTTTGTAGTTTTATACATCCTGAAATTTTGGTATGGGGTTTAACTGGAAAGATACAGGAGAACGCGTGCACTCTTTTTACTCAGTTGGCTTTTCCATTCTTTGCAATTTCACAGTGGCTTGGTATCCACTATTGACGGATTACATGGGGATGGAGAACCTTTGAGCTTAAAGTCTCTTCCTCCTCCCCTCCCCAAATGGATTTTTTTCTCATTGGTCCATGCTAGATTACTTAAACATCATTTTATATAGTTTCTTTTAGTTCTTCCAGAGTAACGTTAAATTAAAAATAAAAGGAAAAGAAAAGAACTCCTGAAAAAAAAAAATAAGAAAACCATTATCAACAAGGTTTTTTATTGCATTTTTGGCGCTTGATATGTCTTCCAACTTTTCTCTCAGAGTTTCGAATTGCCAAAATTGCGGTTTGCAAGTAAAAAAAAAAAAAAAAGAAAAAAAAAGAAAAGGATTGTAAAGTTTTTAATTTGTCATCAAAGTTGGTTTTGATTCTTGATAGACCTGCTTACCCATCAAAATGCTGTCGAGACTAATAACAAGATCAAGCCTCATCTAAGGCTCTATGCGCAAATACATTGGAGTGGAACACTACGCCACTGTGGCCTTAGATAGTTTCCATTTTATTACTATCGTCCTGTACTTATTTTCCTTGACAGTTCTGGTATCAACTATTAGCTGGATTCGTACTCCATTCTAATTTACCTCATGAAAAATGATAAAGAGCGGTTATCCTATGTTAATATACATGGCTTTTTTTCATATCACAAGACAAACCGTTTAAGAGCTTCATTTGCGGCGCTCTAAAGACCTTGGTAATCACTACTTATCCGGTATATAATAGCCCAGTAAAATGGTAGAGAGAAATTCTTGCAATCGATCTGGTTATACATTTTTTTTAATCTTGTTAGATGTAATTAAAAATTAAAAAATCCAAGTTTTCGACATTAAAAGGCTTGTGCATTTGTTGCAGTGCTCCAAAAACTACATTTTTGGTTGAGCTAAATATCTCTTTTTTTCTGAAAAATAAATTATACTGACTAAAATAAGTTGTCTTTAAAACAATACCTTTGGCAGTTAATAGATCTAAGAAGGTATCCAGTGGTGAGTATCTGTTGCACATTTCATTTGATCCTAACAAAATAAATCAATATGATTATCAAATCATCATTACATTAATTAATTATCATTATATTATTATCACATTTGAATTTTAAAAAGTGTAAACTAATTTTTTATTTTTTGTTATTTAGTAATAAAACATTCTGTCACAATATGGAAAATAGTTATAATGAGGAAAGAGTACATTCACACCATATTTACAGAGCATATAAATAGGTAAAATAAAGCAGATACAAAATAGCACCTAAATAATAATCAAAAAATATATATATACAAAAAATAAAAATAAAATAACCTAAAGATAAGTAAAGTAAAAAAAACAAACAAAAAAAAAAACAGCAACATGTCTATATATCTCTTCTGTCTCCCTAACTACATCCTCATCCGCCACGACCGGGCTGGCCGGATTGGTGGTGGCTTCTATATCTAAAATCTCTTCCTATTCAAGTCTTATCCGCTCTCTTACCACAAGATCTCGATCCTCTAACCTTTATCGCATTCACAGATTTACCTTATTTCAAAACTGCTTTGTTGCCTGCTCCACCACAATCTGGAATTTCCTCCCGCCTCAAATCCGACTTGCCCATTGCTTATCTACATTTAAAACACTCCTATTTCGCTTCCTTTTCAAAAATCAGTCTAGACTCTAGATAACCATGTTTTACATAACAAGATTTTGTGTAAGTCACGTTGAATACAAGCTTAAATTATCTACGACTTATATTTTATTAGAATTGAATTTTCTACATTTAACTATTACATGTACTTGATATAGAACATAAATGTGTATTTAGTTTATTTCTACTCAATACCGTTTCTTTTTTTCTTTTTATGGTGTATGATTATGTAAATTTAATTAAATATTTTTACATTTAACATAATTAATTTTTTTTTTACTATCGTTATTACATCTAAGGTGAATGCCGGGAAATCAAGGAACAATAATGGATAAAATTGAATATTGAAAACCTCCCTAATCTCCCTTTTTACCCCAATGATCCATTACTTGCTCATTAGCTTGTATTGATAGCATAACAAAGTAAAGTTAAAGAATAGTAAATTAATGTTAAACAATGGAAACAGGATGTAGTACCGGGTTTGGGGTGAGTATAAGGATTAAATAAAATATAAATAAGAATCTAAAATTATAAATATTTTAATTTTTAAATAATCGCACGTGCAATTTTGTTAGAATTAGACGAAACGCGAATTAAATGCGAGGACCTTGGTGGTTTTTATATTAGTGGACTAGAAATAAATTATAATAGAATTAATCGTGAAGAGGTGGTTGACCGTGATTATAATATGAGTTGGGGTTAGTCGGGGGTGCGGTCAAATAAATACCATAAACTAAAATAGTATTTTATATTATTTATTTTACCGCACCCTCGATCAACTTCTTCTAATATGATAGAATTATATAATAGAAATATTTGGAATTTATAAAATTTTTGTTGGATTTCGGGAAGTTATCACAGTAGTATTGTCATAATAAATGTAATTGTCATTAAATAATTAATGATCATTATTATTAAAATTGTTTTATTACTATTTATAGATAACTTGAAAATGAGCAAAGTAGCACGCTCGAAACGTTGTTATAACTTGAATAAATAGTAAAATTATAAGAGCTTATTTATCCTTGATGACAACATATAAAGTAAACCTGTATTGGCAACAGTTCCATAATTCCAATATTATCAAATTGATAAAAACGTGATATTGTTTAGGACTAGTTTAGTTTTTAATTGGTGTTTTTATCTTTTGTATTTATTGTACCGATTTATCAGTCTGGTCAGAGGCGGCAGTGAGTAAACATATATGTGCTGCTGACATTAAATATATATTCAGCCTAACTTCTGTCTTTTTTTTTCTTTTTTTATAAATGCATTGTTAAATTATCACCCGCACTTTTTAAATCTTTCTTATTTTCACCCAAATAATTTTCACGATTTTAGTTAAACTGTCTTATAACTTTCGTTTACTAATTTGTTTATTTTTAAGCACTTGTTTCACAATTATCTTTTCTATACATACTTTTATATCCCTTATTGATTTTTATTATATATTTCTTTTATACTACTATATCTGTTTCAGTCTCTGATAGTTTCCAGTCAAATCCTTTCCATTTCTAGTATCCTAACCACCTGTCACGTTAACTCCCAATCCCTTCCTGCCCATCATGATGAATTCCGTTCAGTATTTTACTCAAAACTTTTATCATATTATCGCAATCTCCGAAACCTATCTCAAACCCTACACCCGTCCTCTTATGTCTCCTTGTTACTTACAGATAATAACGGCCTCATCCGTTAAGACACGGTCAGCGGGACTGGAGGGGATGTAGCCATCTTCGTCGAAAATAATCTGAAGTCCATAATCTTGGCTCTCTCTTAGACCGAAGACTAACACGGAACCCACATATTACACTAAAAAGACAAGAACTCAACCGACGATATACCTATATAGAATACTGAACATCAAATCTGAAATTTCTATTGAAAACAAATTACTTATCTACAAGAGAATACTGAAACCTATTTGGATCTATGGACTGGAACTGTGGGGAACAGCAAAATTTTCTAACATCAAACGCATTCAATCCTTTCATTCCAAAGTCCTACGAACAATACTTGATGCTCCATTCTATGTAACCAATAGAAACCTACACCATGACTCCTATCCCATTTGTCTTAGACCTTACTCCAGAAAAAACTTCCAAATTCCATCAAAACCATCCAAATTCACTTCTAAAATTCACAAATTCTAGCTCCACCCATTCCTGCAATCCTCCTCGAAGGTTGAAGCGGCAGTGGCCCATAGATATTTTGTAAATAAATATATACTGAAGTTCGGGCAATGGCCAGATTCACCACTCAAACCATGTATGTCTGGTTATAGAGCCTCTGCTCAGCCTTCACTGGTCCTTAATACCAGTAATGTGACTGAGGTACAGGCGCTGGTATGTCCTAGAGCCCTGCCTTTTCTTCCACGAGTTTCCCTTCCTTAGGCTCGGAGTTTCCCTGAATGAATGAATTTTGTAAATATTGTGTAGAAGTATGTTTGTATTTAAGTTGTGACTTTGATTAGTTTAGTTGTTTGGTTTTTTATATTCATTTAGTTTTAGTTATATTATTTTGCTGTCTAATTTATTTTGATTTCTTGTACATAGAGTGTACTCACTAAACACTATTATAAATGACCTTAGTTGAGACAGATTGTAATATTTCTTAATAAACAAGTTCAAGGGATTTATTGCAGACTAGGTGCTCAATTATTAGAGGAAGTACTTTTTATTTATTGTTTTCCTTTACATCTTTTTTAGTACTTTATTATCATTGTTTTTTTATTATTTTTTAGCTAAGCAGCTGTTATTTTATTTTGTTTCATTTCTTATTTCTATTATATATAGTCTTAAGTATTTTGTAAATAATTTCATTAGTTTTGTTTTGTAGTTCACCAAACACCTCTCCAACACATTTAATCCCCATCGGGAATCCCATCCCACCCACACCGTAACAGTAGAAGAATTCCTTACATCACCTATCCCACTTTCTTTGCCCCCTACAGCAATTCATCCTTCCGAAGCGAAATTTCAATTACAAAAGCCGTAAATCTTCTGGATATGATCTCCTTACCCCTCAGATTCTTCGACAACTTCCATCCAAAGCGGTCATATTCCTTACATACATCTTATTTTATTTTATTTTATTTTTTTCCCTACCCTGCCTTTAAGACAATTCGGGAGTTTGCAGCAGTGACTTGATACACATTTTATAACAAATCACTGTTGCAAGTTTATCTTTTTACATTTTTAAATTGCTGTGCACACAGCCTGCTTGATAATTTTGTCACTTAGTTTATCGTCCTCCATCTGCTTCTCCTGTCCTAATCAGCGGCCTTCCAGATACTGCTTCTTCACGCCTTCCCAGAGAGAAGTGGGTTGGGCCCACAGTTTTTTCCAGCCGCATACAAAACTTTTAAAGTGCGGGTAGTTTTGTTCAGACATTAGTTGGGGTAATTGTCTTTCTGTAAGAACGAAAAGCCCTGTATCCCTCATTAATTTAGCCCTCAGTGCCTCATAGCTGGTGCAGGCTACAAGGATGTGCTCAGCGGTTTCAGGTACTCCACAAGTGGGGCATAAGGGGTCGATATTTTTACCGTGTTTAAAAAGTTTCGCTCTGAAACCCCCATGCCCCGTGAGGATCTGTGAGACCCAGTAGTCCGGGAGGACCCATTTCTTTTCTAAGCGCGATTTAATGGTGGGAAAGAATTTTCTTAGTGTGGACCTGTTTGGGGTTGTCACTTGGGGTTGTTGAATCAGAGTATGGCTGATTCCTAGAAGTACCAACCTGAGGACGACATGATACCACACCAGGCTGCTCAGTAACTTTGGGCAAGGAGCTATCAGCTATTATTCGAGTTAGTACTTCGTGGACCTTCTGAGATGGAAGTGCTTCAGTAACTGCTCTCTGAACAATGGCTGATACACCGCCTTGGTCCTTATCCCTTTCTAGTGTTTCAATCATATCAACAAGAGATTGAATCTCATTGTTGATATGATCTCGAACACTGGCACTATTTTTTTTCGCAATTTTATCTAAGGATATTTTAATACTTTCCTGAATTTTTTTGGTACTGTGAAAGTTGCTGTTATTAATAGCCGCATCCACATTATCTAAATTATCTGAAGAAACCTTTCGAGCTCTTTTAACTAATGGCCTGGAAGGCTTACCATCCTCTTGTCGTTCTTTCATCACAAAACTTTCCGTGGAAAGGTCCATGTTTGTTAGCACAGCAATAGTTACTATATTGCTATCAGATGGAGAGTTTATATGATACTTTATCACTAACTTATAACCTTTCACATGAACAATAAAAATTGAAAAATAACTGTTCCCACAATATCGTTCACTTTACACTTTACTTCTCAAGTATTTTAAGCAAGAGATTGGCTTAAGCTAGCTTGAGGTATGGGAGGAAGAAGAAAACAATAAATGAGTAAACAATGA